CCCCCCACCCCCCATGGAAAATTTCTTGTGTATAAAACGACAAAGGAAATATTTAATTAAAGAGGAACAGCCTGACTTGGCAGTTTTGCAGGACAGAGGATGGCTCTTTAGTATTTAAAACCAATTTCACAATTCAAATTGGACTTTTTTTGAAGTATACGAATGAGACATAAATATAGGCTTATCAATCTGCTTAAAAATTTCAATCACATCATGGAAAATGTTTTTCATTTATTAAAAATATCACATTTGGAGACTAGAAACAGTAAAGTGCATGAAAAGTTTCAAATAGAAATTCAAGAAAATCTTATAGCAGCAAAAAAGCAGAATAAAGAAAAACTTAAAAACACAGACACGACCTTTTCCTATCACTGTGCCTTTTTTTTTAAACATTAAGCAGCCAAACAGGTTTGGTTTGTTTTTTTTTGTTGTTGGTTTTTTTTTTGTTTGTTTGTTTTTGTTTTTTTCAGAAAATTGCATCATGTTTAATGCCTCTCGAGGCACAAGGTTTTGAACTGGCCACCCAGAGCATGAAAAGGAAAGAAAACAAGGATTTCCAACACATCCAAAGAGCATTAACATTTGGGAAGGAACCAGCAGCTTTTTTACTTCAGCCCTGACTGACAACAGCTCCCAAACAAATTGGAATCAGGAGGATTTAGAGCTCAAATTTGATCACAGATGCTTGGCTATCTTTGGTTTTCTGATAGTATTGAGATGAGGGGGCAGGGCCGTGCTGCCAATCATTTATAGTCAGGTATTAAGTGCTTTGCTAATGTGCAAAATTTATATTGGATGCAGAGTTGAGTCTCCGTTCTGGATTCAAACGAACAGTATTTCTAATAATATTCTTCCTACAAAACAAGCATCTCTAGCTTTGTTCTTGTTTCTCCTAAAGGTTTGGCTCAATTTGCCACGTTCTGGAAAAAAGCATTACCTTGAAATATGTTAAATGCAAGTTTTCAAACCTCTTTTGTCCGTTTAGAAGTGCAGCTTCCTACTGAAAAGAAAAAGCCAGTTTAAAGTAAAAAAAAAAACAAACAACCAAACAAAAAAACAAACAAAAACAACAACAACAACAAAAAAAACCCTCCCAAACACAAACAAAAATTAAATTAAAAACCTGGAAAGGGGAATAATACTTTGGTTCCAGCCCTAGTGCCAAATGATACCGATATGCACCAAAATGTGCAAAAATCTCATATCAAACACATAAGGAAAAGGAGCTCGAAGAAGCAGCTGCAGGTTGGCCATACTTCACTCCTATCTAGTGGGATTTACAAGTGTACAGGTCCGTGAGGCAGGTCCCAGGCGCCCTGGGGCCGCACTACCTGCGGGAGGGCAGGTGCACGCCGTTCACCAGCGGCAGCAGCGGCGGGTGCAGCTCCAGCTGCGTCAGCAGCGAGAAGTGGTCGGAGGGGATGTGCGGGTGAGGGCAGCCCGTGATGTTGTTGTCCACCAGCCACTGAGGGTCCAAAGGCCCCAGGACTCCCAGCACGTTCATGTGGGTGTTGGAGTAGAAAATGTAGTCAATCACACCCTGCGGAGAGAGAGGGAGAGAGCGCGGTGAGGGCAGGGCCCGGCCGGCCGGAGGCGCCGCGCCCGCTGCGCGCGCCCTCCTTAACCCGAGCTCAGGGAACTGACACGGCAGAGGCAGCTGAGTCCCAGGGAGCGGAGCTTACTTTGAAGTCAAAAGTGTAATTGGTGTAAGGCATCAGGTTGTTCTCGTAGGCGCTCTTGAGCTGGAAGCCGTGCGTGATCCTGCCCTCCGAGGCTCCGTTCTTCCCGTTGCCGCTGAAGTTCATCAGACACTCGTTGTAGCGCAGCTCCTTGAAGTCCTTGTGGTTGTCAGCCACTATGCCGTTGCTCAGGTACTCCACTACACCTGTTGGCGAGGGGAGGGGTTCAGATTGTTGCTTTCAAGGACAGCTTTGGCCCGGGGATGTTAAAAAGCGGAACGCCACCGATGAGAATTGGCCAAGCGAACCCCTTTCCTTGGAAAGTCTTCATCGCGGACTCGCATCTTTCCTGCTTCTTATCGCTGCTTCGGGCACGAGCGTTTATTTAATGGTTTATTTAAGATCTAACTGTGCTTTTCTATCCTTTTGTAGGTGCAGCCAGCTCTCCCTCCTGTTCATGCTGAGCAAGAAAAACAGGCCCCTCAACCGGAGCGCTCGCGGTCTCTTCAGCCAGATTTACGAAGGCAGCTGTTCCTAGGAAACCTTTCACCCATACCTTCCCTGGGGAGTGCAGAACAACCCCATCGCCTTCAGAGGAGAAAGTGGACTCGAAAGTTGTAAGGTAAGTTAAAAACCAGGCCAAAAAAAAAACCAGCCTTACCTGAATCAGGCAGCGAGTTGAGATCCGCACACAGCACCAGAGGGATAGAGTTGGGATCTGCTGTCGGGCTACTGGGCCTGCTTGAGGCTTTCTCCAGGATGTTTTTCAGCTCTGAGACGAACATCATGGTCTGGATGAGTTTCACATCTGAGTATTCGGGGTCCCAGTGCATGTGGGCATTGGCCACGATGAGCAGCTGCTTGTCCACATGAAGCGATTTCATACCTGGGTAAACAATTTTAACGGTGAGAGGCTCTGTGAACGCAGCGCGTTCCTGCGTGCTCGTACTCGGGGTGCAGCTCCTCAGCGTCAGACACACCAGCAGATTGGGTGTGTTTTCATGGCTTAAACCTGCTGAAATGCCTGTGAACAGCCCAGGAAGCTCCTTCCAGCCCTGGAATTTCGCCTCCTCTGAATCCATGAAAACCCCAGCCGGGCAGGCAGAGCAGGGTGGCAGTTTTAGCTGGGTTGGAACTGTCTGCTGCATCTGATCAAACCTGGTGAGAATGTGGCAGTCATTCAATCAAGAGGCAGGAAAAGAGACCAAATAATCTCCTCCTTCCACACCAGTACATGAGCACTGACATCTAATCACCGGGGGAAGGTGGAAGGAGTCAATCCAGGGGAGGAAAAGAGAGTTAAAAACAGAAGATGAACATTGTTGACAACTACAGGTAAGAGCAGATGTGTGTAAACACTGTGACCTTGGCTTAGGTTGAGCTGCTCAAGCAGAATGTAACAATGTAAGTAAGCAGGGATAAAAGCTTGAAAGGAGAAAAGCAAATGCTGGGTGAGCACAACCAGACCATCCGTGCCTGTCTGTGCCACCCAGGGGCTGCGTTGGACTGCGCCACCGACAGGCACAGCGTGGGTTACCTAGGAATAACTCACACCTGCCCGTGGAGCTGAGGAGCGCTGAGGACACCAGTCGTACTCACTTGCTCCGAACAACTCCTTGTGCACCTCCAACACCACGGCCACTCCGATGTTGTCCTTGGTCATCACTCTGTTCAGCATGGCTTCCGAGCCCTCCGAGTTGGCCATGGCCACCTGGTTGAACTCCACCGTGTGCTTCTGCACCAGCGTGAACCTGGGCAGCGGGGAGAGAGCCACGGTGAGCAGCTGTGAGCGCGGCCCCCCGTGGCACCGTCCCCATCTGAAAACCATCCCCGTCTGCTCCCACAGGCTCCCTCTCTTCCAAACCGCTCCAGCTGCTTCTAGACGCTGCATTTTTCTTTCTGGAAGCAGCAAAAACTCCTGAGAGGCAGCTGAGGCTTTGGGGAACTTCCATCCTAATTACTGGAAGCTGTCCTGAGGTTTTAGCGTGAAGTTTGAAAGCTGCCGCCGCCCCTTACTTGTCCGTTTTGAAGAATATCGCGCAGCCGTCCACGTGCTTTTTCTCCTGCTCGGACATGATTTTGGCACGTGACTTTGGAGAAAAGAATCCGTCGTATCCCCGTTCTTTCAAGGCTGGCAGGAAAAGGGTGAAGTATTGCTCCGTTTCCACTTCCTGGAATTGTACACAAACACCTCAGGCTAAAGAAGTGAAGGAACCCCTTCCTTGTGCCTGCCCTGGCTCGCGCTCGGGAAAGCTGCACTGCCCAGACTGCTGGGAACTGATGTGCATTCCTGGATTTCCTGGAATCCCTCCCAAAGGCCAAGTGACAGGTGTGTTTTGAACAGCAGTAAACCACACCTGATATGTTTGACACTGGAATACAGCTACAGAGCTTGCATTGGGAAGACCTGGAACGTGCTACCGAGCAGGTGACTATGGTGTTCCCGAGGGAACAGTTAATCCTCAAGGTTTTCTGTTTCTGATGGAAGATGCAGTTATTTTTAATTACCTGAAGACTAATGATATCTGCATCACAGTTGACGATTTCTTCCATGATTCCCTTTTTCCTGTACTCCCAATTGAGTGCCCAGGATGGGCAGTAGCCATAGAGCTGCCGGGTGGCGTATTTATCACACAACACATTGTAACACATAACTGTAAATGAAGCTGTGAGGAGAGACAGAGAAAGAAAGGGAAAGGTTGTCAGCCTCTGGAGATTGTCTCTTTGGCTTGGACAAGAGTGGCTGGAAGAGCTGTGACAAAGCCCAGCATGGAAAAGAAATGCCCAGCATCCCGTTCAAATGAGAAAAATGGTATTGACAGCACAGCCATATGTTGATTTTTCTATTAGTACAAATGAACAAATTGCTGTTTTCACCCTGATCCTGGAAAACAAAGCCCAAGACGAGTTTCCCAGTGTGTCACCTTGTGAACACAGATTTACCTGAGGGCAGAATTTGGTCTCGTTCTTTCAAAGTAATCCATGGCCTTGGAGGCAGCTGCTCTGGATGAACTAGAAAAAAAATTAAACCAGTGATTAATTCAGAGTTTCTATTTGGAAGTTAAAACTTCTAAGTCAAAGTGTGGTGACTGACCAATAATGTGTTTTGTATCCCCAACTCCCTGAGTCTTCAGGGGAGGCAAAAATAACTGAAATGAGTAGCTCTAGCAGGAGAAAAAACTGTCATTTTTAAGATTCCTGACTGCTTTTGTCTCTTGTTTTGGGATTTAGAAGCACCACGGAAATACTCCCGCACATTGAACAATCTGCTGAGGAAGGAGGGGTAAATCCTGGCATGGTTCAGCCATCCCTTCTCCAAGGACCTCGCCCTGCTTCCATCGTTCCTGCAGTGCCTTAACTTGGGAGACAGCGAGTGGCAAAGCAGAAGGCTCAGTCACAGAACCACAAAGCAGGACTGAAGTCAGGTACTGGATGTTCTTAATGCTGTTTTTTGAGCTAAATTTGATGGTCTTGCTTGCATTCAAATGATTATTTCTGGTGGGGAGAAAAAAAATGGCTTAGGCAAGGCAGACTTTGCCCTTGGCTGGTAATTGAAGGGTTTCAAAGAGATCAGAGAGAACATTTGGCTGTAACACAGGAGAACCTTAGCACACATCAGCCTCTTCCACTGGGGGTGAGGCTGTGTTTTGGGATGTGACTGGAGCCACCTGACAAAAACACTAAAGCAGTGAGGAAATACTGTCCCTCCAGGGGGTCAGAGTCTTGCTTTAGCAGCAAATCCTACTTTTAAAGGCTTGTGTGCCCACCAGATCCGTAGGGCTGTACCTGCTAGATTGTCAAGCATGTAGTTCAGTAGCTTTCGGGTTCCGTCTGGATCCTGGTAGAGGCTGAGAATATCTTGGGATAAAGGATTGCCTGCCAACAGCACAAAACAACAGCGGGGGGATCAGCTGCCTGCCTTTCTTGAGGCTTTCCACCCAAAAGAAATCTCCCAGAATGAGAACAGACAAATTAATTCAGCAGGTTCAAGGGTTTATTTCCCTGAGTGCAGATTTGAAACGAGCTCCTAAGGAAGTCTAGCAGCATTAAGAAAGACAAGCATTGTTTTCCCAACTGCCTGGTCATTTTTGCTACCAACTTAATGCTTAAAATAACCTGCAAGAGAACCTTGAGGTAGTACAGGAAGGTTTTGAGCCCAGCCCCCCTCAGGATTCCTGAGAACTCGTAGGAATATGGAACTGGAAAGAGCTCACCTTTCAAACCCAGGGTTTGCAGCTGGAAGAGCCGTCCAAGTTCATAAGGCAAAACCCGTAACAGATTGTTATTTAAAAGCAATTCCCTGCAGCAAATGCAAAAACACTCTGGGTGAGCATTATTGCAGAAGAAACTCCTGAAGTGCTCCTTAAAGAGAACACTTTTCACCCTGAATTTTATTATGGGAAGATATGCCAATCTTCCCATGTCAAAGCACGACCGAAATACGTGCACTGGGGGGAAAAGAGGCACGAAACCAAAGATGAAACCGGGGATCAAAACTGTGTTATATCAACAACCAGAAAAAAAGGCCCAGTGAACCCAAAAGTAATTATCAGCAGCAAAGCTCTGCAGCAACCTGGAGTTTTTCAGGATTATTCGAAATACAAGCGCAGGAAACAAACTGAAACTCTCGTTCCCCATCCCACCACAGAGAATTTTTTGGCAAGTCAAGCAGAGTAATTCCCCTCACCTGAGAGACACCATGTTTCCTAGTTCTGCTGGTAAACTTCTGAGTTTGTTGGATGACAGATCCAGGTAAACCAGATTGTGAAGCTTGGCAATATCAGGTGGAATGCGAGTAAGGTTGTTGTCATTGAGGTGCAGAGCAGTCAGGTGTGTCAGCGACCACAGCGACGTACTTAAGCTCCGCACTCTCCCTGAAAAAGGAAAGCAAGGATCCACCTCTCTGCTCCGGAACCACCGGACACAAAGCGGATCTGGAGCGGTCTGGGGCACCAACTAGGGGCATTTAAACCCCAACCAACTCACCCGAGATCTCTAATTCAGCCCAGTGCGACTTCTTCCCGTTGGCCACCTCTTCCGCTGACATGATGGTGTAAATTCTGCGAGGATCTGGAGGATCATATTTTTCCTTTGGCATCCCTGTTAGTCTGAAAGACCATCACAACTGTTACTCCACAGCATTCCTTCATTTCTACCCCACCACGAGCTGACCTTTCCCAGGGATACCCCGCAGCGACGCGTCCCGGAGTTTTACGCGCGATGAATACTGGGCTGCCAAGCAGATGCTCACACCTGGGCAGAATTCCGGGATGGAAAAGAGCATTTATTCCTAGGAAGTTTGGGGTTCTGCAGTCACCTGCTGGCTTTCCCACTTTATCCCCCACAACCCACGGAGTTGTTTGCCCTGTGCAGAACCTGCAGACAAGATCAGAGCGTTCCGCTGTTCCTGGATTGCTCCCTCCCGTAGCTTGCACAGGGAACCAAGGATTGAAGGGAAGGCTTTTAATTTCAGCATACCAAGTCCCACTTCTCCACTGCACTTATACAAGGCTTGAAATTGCAGTCTGAGAGGGAATTAGCTCCATTTTCCCATTAACTATCCAGCTTTTGTGTTTTGTGCTTTTTCATGCTTGGAATCAGTCAAGACCTTTGTATTCCTCACCGCTCAGGAGCCATAAAGAGAGCTCAGGTCAAGTTCCCATTTAGCTGTTCTGGGGCACAAAGGGCTCCAGCCCAGTGCAAGATGTCAATATCAGAAGCCTAAGGACGAGCCTGCACACACCAAATTCATCCAATTGTCCTGACTGCCGGAAAGGAGCTCTGATGTCCCATTCAAAAACCATCCACTTGCCAGGGGACACAAGGAGAGATGTTATTCCATGCCTCCCTAGGCTGTTGTGCTGAGCAGGACTGTGTGTGATTTTGCTGTTGGCCGGTCTTTTCCTCCCCAGACACACAAAATCCACGAGCCTTAATTTTATACAAACCCAAAGAGCTGCTCCGGAGGATGCAGCTCTTCCCTCATACAGACATCTCTCCTAGAGCCAGCTGTTCAAGCTGACCTAACTTGAATTCGAGGTAACAAGCTGAGGGTTTTGTTCAGCGAGTCCAACTAACCCAAGATCCCACTTTCCCTTTACGAGGGTCGAGTCCATCCTGCGGAGTTTCCCAGCTGATGCCGACAGCCAGCCCGGCGTCCCGGCAGGGTGCCGGAGCTGTCAGGGCTGTCCCCTGCCAAGGGTCTCAGTTACAGGGCTGCTGCTTCCTCCTCTGATGAAGGCCCAAGGAAAATGCAGGGGCAAATGGGAGCCTCACATCTAATTATAGCCCCCTGTTATTTCCAGGTGAAGTCACACGGCGAGCAGAGCTACGGGATAAGAGGATTCTGTGCTCACACTGCCTGGCACGGGGCCATGAAGGGAACCAGTTACTTAAGGACAAGGGATTAGATCTAAAATCCTTCCATCTTTGTTCCAGGACCCCCAAATCAGAACGGCCTTCCCCTCCCCTCACACGAGCAGGCTGCGCTTTGGGAGTGCCAAGTCTCTGGCGTTTGGATTTTGCTGGGTTTGTCTTGGCTCTTCAAGTGCCGGTGTGAAAGTGAGGAGTGCTTGAACAGACTCCTCACAGCCCCTGCCAGGCCACAGGAGCCTCATTCCACCTGCCCTTGCTGTTTTTAACCTGTCAGATCTTAAACTGAGCTGTACCTCTACGGCACCTGAACCCAAAGCACGGCAAACTTTGCTGTCCAGAACCCAGGATTTGGGTGAGTGCTCTGTGATGAAGCCTTTCAAACCGTGGTGCTGAGACCACCTGAGCCACCCCCCACCCATCCACATCAGCCCCCAGATGACCACTGACCCCCTGACACCATCTGAAAGCTCCAGGATTGCTCCTGGAATGATGTCAAAATATGGCTCGTTAAAGACAAGTGCTCTGCCCGTGTCAGGGGCCTTCCAGAGAAGCGAGCCCTGAGCTGGGAGGCGAAGGACACGCGCATTTTTCAGCCCTTAGTCACTTTAATATTGCTTTGAAATAGTGGTGAGTCAAACAGGCAGCAACCAGTGTCATTGCCACAGTTACAGAAAGGAGAAAACAAACCTAAATCAAATGCACTTTTATGTTTTTCCTCCTTCTGCATCACAGCAACATTGAGCAAGGCTTGAAAGTCACCGTGTGTATCTTTTTTTTTCTCAGGCAAAAAATGAATTCTGCTTGGGTTCCCAACTCCTGCCCTTCCTATCTCCCACTCTGCTTGTCCTGGAACTAAAATAATATCCAGAAATCCCAACCTGTTCTTGCTCAGTCTTGAGGCAGCTACACGGAGCTCCCTGAATCAGTTAACCCTAAAATCCAACGTGCATCCAACACAAATTTTGGCTGGCTTTTCTCCTAAAGGCTCCCCTTGGAAAACTTCTCAAGCTACTAAAACTTGCTCTCTGCTACAGATCCAACCCTGTAAACTTAAAATAGTGTGACCCTGATTTCTTGTAAATGAAACACAAAATCTCTTCTTGTTTTTGTGCAAAGAAAACCTCAAGATGAGGACATCAGCGTGTTACTAAGAACAGTATTTAAGCTCTGGGGGTTCCTAAAGTAACTCTTTGGGTCCAAGTCCATCCCCAAAAACCCAGAGATGACTGGCAGAGTTTGGATTAACTCAGTTGGAACCTTAGGTGTGGTCCTGGGTGAGCCAAAGCAGCTCTCTGAGGTGGCTGTAAGCAGGGGCAGGTACAGGAGCCCTGTGCCTGCCTTCTCCTTGGACTTTTGGGGTTTTACGCTATTTTATTTGCTGGGGTTTTTTTTTTTCTGACTGCCCTTTAAAGCCTGGAAAAAAACCAAATGAATAATGGAACACTACTGAAGGTGTGAAGAGTGTCAGAGAGGAAAAGTCCAGCTATTGGGTTGCAGCAGAGGCTTTTAATAGGAAGAAACGGGTTTTTTTGGGCAACAAACAACAGGAACTTCTGGGTTTCAAACACACAGCCCCTTCCCCAAGAGAAGATGCATTTCTAACTTACAGTGACCATAAGATGTTTTAAGTTCTTTCACACTTCAGTGCATAAATAAGCTGTCAAATGGAGAAGAGCTGTGCCTGCATCCTGCTGCAGCCCCGTGTTCATGGATGTTTGGCACGGCTCCAAACCCTCCCCTTCAGCCCAGTGACATTCTTTGTGATAATTCTTTTTTTTTTTTTTCCCCTCAGCCTCTGTATGTGGATGAGTCAAACCGCCAAAGCATTTTGGAAACAATCCAGCAGCCAGCCCTGAGTGGCTCCTCCTTCCTCTGAGCGCAGCTGACCGTCCATCCCCTTCCATATGGTGATGCCTGCCAGGAATCAGCGACGCTGTTGGCTCGACGGGGCGCGCGCGTGTGTACGCACACGTTGTTGTCCGGCGTTGGGAAGTCGGGCTGCAAGCTGGGGAACGGCCCCATTTTTATCTCTCCATCTAAACGTCTATTTATGTGTCTTGTAATCGGGCCTGAGAGGCTGCAAAGGGCGGGAGAGGAAGGCTGCTCCTCTGTGCCGCTCTGCTTTTAGGGGAGCGCGGCAAAAGTCTCCCCGTTTCGGCCTCCCCAGGGAGAAGGGAAGCGTGGCCAACGCTCACAAACAGAAAAACTGGCTTGGAGTGGTCTGGGGGGAGGAAAATCAGGTGATTGCTCAAAGGGGTGTTAAGGGGATTTAAAGGAAGGTGCCAAGACTGGGGGGATGTACAGATGTGTTAGCTTAAGGTAAACTATTTGCTATATCCCTATACACAGGATCTAGTGTGTATAAATCAGCAAGAAAATGTTGGAGAGTGGGGAATTCTGATGGGATCTGAGCTTTTTCCATGGTGCTTTCCTGCAGGAATATGTCCAACCACCTCTGTGTACACTGCCTCTCCCAAGAATTCAACGAGCATCCCCGAGTCTGCCAGCCCAGGTACTGTGTCTTTCCAGCTTCTTATTCCAAGTACCCTGACTGGGGATAGAGATTAGCAGGGAATCAAATATAAATGCCTTTTGGATAAAAAAACCCCACCCAAACAATTAAAAAACAATGTTTGAGGAGATTGGAAAGAACCCCCGAGGAACGTCTGACACAGAGCGCAAGGAAATTTGAGTTGGGAATAGGGGAAGGTAAGAGGTAACCGTGAACCTGCAGCTGTAAATTCAGTGGTGCTGGGATCCCAGGGGGCTCCACCTTATCCCTTTGAGCCCAGAGAAACACAGACAAATCACAGAAGCAAACGGCAAAAGCCAAGGGGAGGAGTGGGAAGGGAGGGAACGAGCTGCATTTGATTAATTCCAGAGCCAACTGGCACTCACTTGATGGAAATGCTAATTTTCCCCCTGACATACACCCACTAGTCATTCCCCTCATCTCCTCTAAATGAAGCAGTCTTTTCTTAAACCACAGGTAACACAAGAATATCCAGGTTTCCACCCTTCCTCTTCCTCCCTGTCACACCCCCACTTACAGGACCAGCTGAACTATTTACTGCGTGGAAATGCTACACAGCTGCTTTTTATTGCTGTGCTTGGTTAAGAGTCAGCCCTCACTCCAAAGGAACACTTCCTGCCCCGCTGGAAGCAGCCTGGGACAACTCCTGAATATCCACACCAGGTCACTGAGCGATACCTGCAGGTGCCTTTTACACTTTGTGCTCCCAGAGCAGCTCTTGGGGCTGCCTCACACGCAAACACAGGGCAGGCTGCTCCCCAAAATAAAGCTCTTTATTACCAGAAACGCATGCAAGAGGCTACTGTAGAGGCAGAAGCGTTTCCAGCAGCCAGCCTGTAAATAAATGTCATCAGAAGCCCCCAAAGGGCTGGTTTAAACTGTGTGCTTATTTATTTACACAAGTATCTTGCACTGTTTCAGAGAAATGACCCATTTGCAATGCTGCTGCATCCCCTGGAGAGTGTTGGGCTTCTAATGAGATCCAGGACAGAGTGGCTTAAAGGATTAGGAGCTGAAGTCACCGGGAGTCTGGGGAAGGAAGAAGCCGGCGCTGGATCAAGACAGGTCCTGGGCTGTGGGGATGGAAGAGAAGCAGCCAGGGATGGCTGCAGCTTAAAGCAGGAGGTTTCCCTAGGTCTGGGCAGGCAGAAAACTCCCAGCAGCAGGAGCAGAGGGAGCGGGCAGTGCCGTGGAGTGCCCCGAGCCGTGAGGGCTGACAAGGCTCATCTGTTCAGTCACTCCTCAGAAATGATCAACATCTTCCTCAGGCTGCTGCTGTGAGCCAGCACCGTGCCTCGTTCAACTCCTCAGGATCAATACCTGGAGAGAAGTCAGCTATTGACCTGTTTTTTGGGCAAAACTGCACGGGAATTACCAATCCATGCACGCTCCAGGAACTCGGGAGAGGTCTTCTCAATGAACCAACCTTAAGATACAGTTGGAATTATCAATAGCCTTTCATCCTTCAAAGCAAAGTTTGTGCTAGGAGGAAAGAAATGAGATTATTTCCACGGTGTCATCTTGCCTTTTCAGTGGGACACTGCCAGCTCTTCCCCAAAACAAGCAGAGCCCAGCAACACTTGAGTTGCTCTCCCTCTACAATCCAAAGAAAGCTGCCACTGTAAAACTTAAACAGCTTTGGAGTTACAAGGCTTGCCTTGTTCAACCACAGGTAAGTTGGGATGAGTCAAAGCTCAAAGATTTTAAAAGGAAGGAGGAGGAAAAGGAAAAAAAGCCAAAGGAACAAGCACACAGTGATAGTGGAAAGTGTTTTGCAATCACTGGCACAATAAATGAGCCTTTTCAGTTGGAACAGGCCGCAGGATGCTGCACTAGTGCTCAAAGTAGCTGGGCTTGTATGCTCAGGAGAAGAGAGAAGGGATCTGTTCAAATCCCCCCCCAAGTTTACAGGAATAAACCCTGTTCTCCAGAGGGTGTGTTTAAATGTACTTTGCATTTTGATCTCAGAAGAAGCAAAGTTTGCCTAATAGCCTGAGCAAAGCATATTATTTTAATATTGGAAGATAGTTCAGCTGCCTCTGTATCTGATTATCCCAGTCCCTCCCATGGGCATTTACACCATGCTTAAACTTCCAAACAGAATCCCAGACTGGTTTGGGTTGGAAGGGACCTTTAAGCCCATCCAGTTCCACCTCCCTGCCGTGGGCAGGGACACTTTCCACTCTCCCAGGCTGCTCCAAGCCCTGTCCAACCTGACCTTGGACACTTTCAGGGATCCAGGGGCAGCCACAGCTGCTCTGGGTAACCTGCTCCAGAAGAGAGGCTGAACCTGCATGGGTTCCTCTGTTCAGCCACATGAAGGGATTTCACCTAAAGCCAGGGAAATACATTTGGCAAGTTTTGCTGTAGTTTTTCCAACAGGTTGGTTTTCTGGTATTTCTTAATGTACTGGAGGGTGAGAGGTTGATTACTGAGCTCTCTGAAAGTTAAAGAAGACAAATGCAGTCCAAAGCCCTGGTGCCACCTCCCCTGCTGTACAGGAATTGAGAGTAAAGGAAGAGCACAGACACAGTGGGTAGGTGCAAGAGGCAGGTATGGATTCAGGAATGCTGAAGCCTTGTTGACAGCCTGAGGTATTCAACCACGTAATTTTCCAAGCAGAAAATACTTGTGAGTCGTACTCATCTCCCCAAGTCCAAGGTTGTTTTGTTCAGACCTGCAGCTGCCATGAAATAAATGGCCAATGACTTAAAACTGAATTATTCCCCCTTTACCTGCATGGGAAGCACCTGGGTGTTCTAGAGCAGGCAGAAAAACACCTGGCAGTTCAGTCTCAAACCTCCTGCTCTATCCACAGGTCTCAACATCCTTAACAGATCTGCTTCTCCCATCCACACCAAACATTCCTAATTCCTCTGATGCACTCCACTCCTTCCCAATCTTTTGCTCTGGACTAAGGAGGTGGAGGAAGAGGTTTTTACACGGGTACAAACACGTCCCTGGAGACTCCTCCACTGCTCCCAGTGGCCAGGATTGACTTGGATGGAGGAGAAAACGTGAGCCTGGCTCTTCCTGGCACCTGGGACTGTTCTGGTATGTGAGAAGTCATCTGGCCCTGCTTTCCTTTTGCTTTCTTAACCTTGCAGAACACAAAAGGGATTAAAGAAGAGGCGTTCACAAGTGGAAATTTTGGCTGGGCAGTCATTCATCCTGTGCTCTTTCCCACTGCCAGGGCCAGTTGTAAATTAATGTAATACAATAAGTAAGAATCGAATTTTAAACTACAGGGGGAGCAGGAAGAGCAAAGGATATTCTCCACGTGTCGAGGCTGACTCTCAGGATAAAGAACATTTTTTATATCCAGCAAAGCATACAAAGTATGTTTTCTTGCTTTCCCCCTTGCTCTGTTTTCCTGGGAAAGTATCCTATGGAGAAAAAAAAGAGCCACAAATCTGCAGAAGAAGGGCTTCAGCACTCTCTTCAGATGGTGCTTAAATCCAGAGCCTTCTGAAAGGGCCTTTAGATTGATTAAAAAAAAAAAAAGCAAAACTAATTTGTGATTAGAAGGCACAAAGATGTTCACTCAGATGGAAGCATTCCTGAAAAGCGAGGGGAAAACTACTGGAGCAATTCATTCAGCTGCCCTAAAGGGTAAACAGCAAACTCCAACACCATCCACAAATCCTGATTATTATTAACAGCTTGACCAAAAGCTTGTGGGTTTTGTACTTTTCTTTGTACTCCTGGAATCTGATGAACTTGAGAAAATGTGTTTGACACCAAAGCAAGGAGGAGGGTCCCTCTGCAGCAACATGAGGCTAAACATTCCTCCCTCTCCTGCAGCCTTTGGAGCTGCCTCGGCCTAGGAACATTTTTTTGCCTTTAAAAAAAGCAAGTCAGATGTTAAATTGTGTCTTCCCTTGCAGGCCTTTGGAAGAAGCAGTGTGGGGAGGTTCTGACTTGCAGAGGAAACTCTGGAAGGACCGGTGGCCAGGATGAAGAACACTCAGGGGCAGCTTTGCTTTGCATTCCCATTCCCAGCCTCTGGAGAGTGCAGGTGGGTGCAGAACTTGGGAAGGGGACAAGAGCTGCCTCTGGTAGTTTCCCTGCCATAAAAATTCCTGCTGCTCCTGGCTGAGTGCACAAGAGGTTTCCCTTGATGCTTTGTTTAAGGTAAGGAATAATCCAGATTCACATCAACAGGGCTGGTGGCAGTGTGTTCTGAAGGATTTGCCTCTTCATGTTTGAAATTTCCCAACCTTCCAGCTGCAAGTGGGGGGGAAACCAAAACTAAACTCCTGCTGAAGGGATGTATTTAATTTAGAACAAGCACTTACACCATGCAAATTTGCATTTGGAGTCCCACAGCCCCTTCATTCACATTTTTTCTGTCTTTCTCAGAAAAAACACCAAGCTCCTCCCCAGGCAAGCAGGATAGGGAAGACAACACAGCACACACGGGTGAATGCTGAGCATAAATGGTGCTGTGCAGTCATAGCCACCACTGATGCCAGCCCTCAGGAAATGCCAGAGCAGGGGGCAGCACACAGGACCCTCACTGCTCTGTCTCTGCACACACAGGTTAATTATTAGGTAAATTACTCCTGTGCCAGACACCCAACAGCTCACTGGGGTTCTCTTCTCTTCCCCTGGTCTGGGTGCAGCTCCCCAAATCCCTGACTTGTAGCTACAATTGCTTGGAGCTGCTTTTTGTTCATCCTGGTTTTTCTAAGTGCTGGTTTAACATCTCCCCCTAGAAGGGATAAAATGTGTTTCTCGTAGATCAGTGCATTTCTGAACGTTCCTAAAGTTACATCTCTATAGGGAGATGCCCAAGAGGCTGCAAAAGTTCTTCTTCTAAACGGGATTCCACAAAGATTTTTATTTTTTTTTTCTCCCAGTGCTCTCTTTCATTCAGAGTAACTTCAGTTTGGTGTTTGTTTTTGTTTTGGGGAGGGTGGGAGTGTGGATTTTTTTTTTTTTTCCCAGCTCTGAGAGAGGAATTTTCTCCCACACAACAGCAGCCAAGTCAGGCCCAGAACCTTGCCACTGCAGGTAAGTGTCACGTAGCCCTTTTGTGAATTTACTGAGCCAGTCAGCAAGTTCAGCTAAAGGCCTTCCACCGTGCCCTCTGCATCCCCCTCCGAGACCTGAAGGCACAAATGGATCCAGCAAATCCTGTGCATGTTAAATTCTTTCTGCCATTTCCTGCCAGACACTTCAGTTTACTTCAAGTTGATGTTTTTGGGGTGGTCTTGTGGTGGGAATTTTGATGACAGCCTCGAGGTGCATGAAAGACATGAAAGGAGAGCAGCAGAATTCCAGAAATATTGTCACCACCTAGGTCTCTCTATCAAGATCCTTTTTTTGTTTGTTTGTTTTTAAGTCATTACAGGTGAGATGGAGAAGCTGCACAGACAAATCACTGGAACCCAAGGAATTAATCAGAAGGTGAGGCTACACCACACTGTCAATGCAAAAAGCACCCAGGCCTTGATTACAGCCTGCCATCAAGAGAACCACAGAATCTGGACAAAAAAATAAAAAATATTACAAGAGGCTTAGCATTTAATGCTCTAAAGCACTAAACCCACAGCAAATCCTCCTGAATCTAAATATGCCTAAGACATCTTTTAACTTATTTTTTTCAAGTTTTCACAAATGCCATCTTACACTCTCAAAAAACTAAGCTCTTCTTATTTAACTCCACGAAAGTTACTTTTGCTTTCTCAGTAGTCTGCAAATCTGGTTACATCCCGTGCCTCGAGTGCCCTTTTGGCACTCCCAAAACCTCTCTCCAATAAAGAGCAAGCAAGTAAAAAGTAAGCACTTCTTTGGATTTATCTCCCCTTTTAAGCCCAAGTAACCCAAAAAGCATGCAGCAGATTACAGCTGACAGAAGCAGAACTTTTTGGGGGAGGTTCAAGAAAGTTTGCCTGGAAATTGTGCACGTTACTGATGCATAATTTTACCACTTAAAACCCTAAGTTTTAATTCTTGGTGGTTTAGATTTAAATTAAGTAGAGACTTAGACAGTGTGGAAATTAATTAATTTTTCTCCACTGGTGCTTTTTCATTCTTCTAGTAAGAGTCCACACACATGCCTTGGGATCACTTTCTGGCTTATTTCTCCTAGGACTGGTGTGAAAGCTAAACTTGGTCAAAAGCCTGCCTTGGCTTTTTGCAAAACCACGGCTGTTAATGGAAAAGAACGAAACGATCCCAGTTTATCCCATGAAAGGGAAGTTTCATCAGCACCTTCCGATGGGAAGAGAACAGCCATAACCTCACTTAGTTCCACAAGTCAATCCTCACTGCAAATGTGATGGAGCTCCTACAGATTGTGGATGGGAAGAGGAGAGCCACGCACGGGAAATACACCCGGAGCAGCCGTCCCTTCCCTTCCCAGCCTGAGCAGGCTCCATCCCTGCTACCAGGGACAGGGAAAAACAGCCTTTAGAAAACGAAAACAAGCTCTATCAGTAAAAGTGCACTTCTGCAGATAACTGCTCCTGCAGCTGGGACTTCTGCTGGCACAGCTGTGTCAGTCACGGGTCACAGTCCGTCACCGCGCGCGCAGACAGAGCTGTGCCAGCAGAAGTTCGCCGTGCAGACCCGGTGGGAAGCTCCACTGACACGGATCTGCAAGGTTTTGCCTTTTTTATTCTGCAGCAGAGGTAAGCTCGTCCAGCAGGCTGCTGATGGGCTGTCTCACCCCTGACACATTAGGGTCTGGCCTTCCAGGGACGGGAGAAAACTAAACTTTGCACAGGGACACCCGTGGGCCATTTACACTGAGTTTTATCCTTCAGTTAAACGCACAAACTAAATGAGAAAGGGCCCCTGTAGGAAGAGATAAAAGGGAATAAATTAAATTGTGCTTCAGCACTCGGAGCAGCCCCCGCTTTTAATAGTAAGAAGGGAACAAAACTGAAAGTGTTGAACAGGATTTGTTTAGCAGACAGCAGAGCTCTGCAGAATTTCCACTGCTCTGTGAAACCCAACGGGCACGCTGCAGCGGGGCTTTCGGCCTCCTCAGTCACCTCTGGAGGAGATGGCATGCCGCTCAAACACAAGTTGTGTTTGGGTGAACCGACAGGATCCTGCAGCTGGGTGATGTGGATCCTTATTCCAGAGCAGGCAGCAGGGAGCTGTCAGCAGTGC